GTCGGAACGAATTTACGGAAAATTAACTAACGAATGGAGACGTAACAACACCACAATGTGAACATAAACAACAGTGCAAAGGAGAATGGTAGTGATATTGAACATGTGATCTGCGGCACATACGAATATAGATTTAACCATTTTTTAAATACAGTTGTATATTGAAGTAGAGTTAAATATTCCTAGATATATTCTATAGCAGATACTTCAAATGACTTATTGACTTTGCTGATGTTTTATTTACTTACGCACAATAGCATATAATAATTTAAATGATGTGGAAAGCATAGTTATTGTTACGTCTCTGTATGTTTGTTTGTTAATTTTTCTGCGATACAAGTCTTTTCTTAAATAAAACTTGTTTATTCTTCATCAATACAACTTTGCAATACACTTAATTTTCACAGTTACACACACTAGAGTTCACAACAATTCATTCATTTTCTACCGTGCTTGACTCAATTGTCCATCTCTATCTCCGCCTGTCAGCAACTATAGTTCCGATCTCTGTATCTGCTATCCTCGGTTCCCGCCGACCGTGACTGCTGTCCTTGATTCCCCACTCTCTCGCTTTCTCTTTCTCTCCCTCTCTCTCTCTGTCTAGCTCAATTATATACGATAATACCGCCTGTTCTAGAATATTCTAGGCTCTCAACATGTGCTACCAGCGTCACTTGACTTCGCTGTCGTAACACATTAGCATATATCGCGAATCTTCTAGAATACTCGTCACGTGACCCCCGCTGTCGTAACATTATTGATGTATTAGATTGCACAATAGTATTGTAGTCGAGTTTATCCACTTCTCTTTGATGAATATGGCATATCATGACAGTACCCAAATTATAAAGAGGTCAATTTATCCATTTCACTCCCAATCACCCCTAAAACACTGTTACAAGTTAGCAAACACATATTCACTTCAATTTTCATACATATTAATATGACAGTCATTGAGCATATTGTTACTCTCTGGTCGTTGGTTAATTTTCCGTAGAAATTATTTCCAAAAAAACTTCAGCGATACAAGTCCTTTCTTAAATAAAACTTGTTTATTTTTTCTCAGTACAACTTTGCAATACACTTAATTTCCACAGTCAC